GTACTGTACTCTGTTGGGCTTGACTCAATGACCCTCACACTCCAAGGCACAAGCCATAGCATTTGAATCCCACTTCAGATTAGGCTACAGTTTCTTCTGGCACCCCTGATGGGCCCTGTATCATGGGAGCAAGCTTCCTTTCCCTGTAGGAGTAAGGATCCAAAGGCAAGGGTAAGGAGAAAGTGTCAGAGGCTTCAGAGGATAGACCCTAGGGGAAGTGGGACTGCCTCAAAAGAAGAATCATTAACTGGTACATTTTGAAGGAAATTCTGCAGCCTTCTACTTCCATAAGCAGAGAGCTTAAACTGATGACAGAGAAAACCAACCTAAAATATAAGACTCTGGGGCAACCAGAGGTTCCAAAGGGAGGAGGAGGGGGATGAAGAGAAGGTGATGGGAAGGAGGAGGAAAAGTTGTTTTAAGAAAGGCAGCTTTTGCTGTGATGCAAGTTCACCAAGTGGGAAGTTATAGAAGCTCCTGGCAGCCAGAGACCTATCCAGGGAGTCCCTGGAGTGGAAATACCCATTCCCATCAAATCCATGTGAGTGTCTAACTCAGGGAGGACAACACACTGGTACAATGCCAATGCAGGTTACAACAACGAGCCAAAGGTAATCACCTTCAAGCTTGTCCCTGAATTACAGGTTCAGATCCCGCTGTTCCTCACAGGCAAATGAGGGGAAGATACCTCCAAGGCTAGGGAACAGTAACTGAAGGTGAAAATTTGAGAAAAGCAATGTTTCTTATACAAAACATACTGTAAAGCAGTGCAAAACCACAGGTTTAAAAGATAAAGTGAGAGGGAAGGAGGGGAGAAAAAAAGAGGGGGGAAGAAGGGAGGAGAGAAACATAGAAAGAAGAGGAGGGGAGGGAGGGAGAGAGTGTAGGAGATAGGGAGGGGGAAGAGGGGTCATGCACAGGGAGAGAGAAGCTTGTCTATGAAGGGTAACAAGTACTGCAGAAGTGCTGTTTCATTAATAAACAGTAAAGCACAAAGAACATGAAAGCTCACTCCAGCAAGTGGCAGAAATAGATCCTCCAAGGCATTGTTCTCTTTTTCTCTGAAAAGGAAAACTTAAATGGAACTGACTGAGCGTCATGTGGATATATCATATTTCTCACTAGAAACAGAGTCTGTTTTCTGAAGACCCTTACAACAACCATGGGATTGGAAGGAAACTCGGAGATAATTAAATCCAACACGCCTCCTTTAAAATATAAAGACACTCGTGCTGGAGGCAGCAGTCACTTGTTTCCAGTCACTGAGTAAAGGAGCTTTATTCCAAACCTCCCAGTAACCAAGCCAGGGATCTTTCTGTCACACAGTGCAACTCTGAAATTAGCAGGACTCGGGTAAGAAGTGAACTCTTGCCTAAAGAGCCGAGAAAGACACCACACAGGAAGTCAACAGCTGCTTGTGAGTTTGTCATTTTTAATACATGGTCACAAACCCAACTAATCAAATCTTCCCTTTCTTACATGTCCTAGAGTGATGTTAAAATGTTGTGTGGACTCAATACAAGTTAAGTCTTCATCAGCTTCTAAACATAACAGGACCTTAAGCATGCTTCCTAAGTCCCCAGCACCAGTGAAGTTGTAGCTTTATAAATATCGTGGTGAACAAGAAATGCTGTCTTGTCACATTCAAGCCAAATAACAGCTGGACTTTAAAAATAAAATTTTGAAGACATTTGCCTTTTATATTTCTAATTTCTGTTTTCCTTGCTTATGGTTTTGTCATTTGATTTTGATGAGTGGCTAATACACGTGCACAGCTGCCTCTCTTGGCGACCTCTTCTTTGCTTCCTTCATGCCCGGGGCTGTGAGGCAGGCCTTCAAGCTGCTTACTAAGAAATACCATCCTTTTCATGGCTGGCAGGCACTGCCCTGGGAAGCATGGCTAGGGAAGGACCGGGAAGGACCGGTCTTCTGGTTAACTTACTTTTATACTTAAGAAGCCCCATGGGAGGGATGAGACCTGCTAGGAGAGCAGAGCCCTTTGAGGTGGCTGTTCCAACGGCTAGAGGGAATTGATCACGCATGGGTGAAAAAAGGTGATCTCTTAAACTTGAGGCATAGCTCCCCTTTCAGCACAGGCCCTTTAAAGAGCTTATCTTGTGAGTGTTTGGTAGAGGACCACAAAGTATGTCTCTTGGAGTTTTGTTCTCAGTGATGATAAAGTACCACTGCCATATGCTTAGACTTCTCTTTGAATCTTGTATTCCCTCACTAGACCATAAGCTCCAGATGCTGAAGGGCACTACTATTTTAACTTCCCACGGTTTACCCAACATCTAGTTCAGTGGACTGGCACTCCACAGACACTCAAGAAATGTTGGCTCATTGTTTTGTTGGACCATGGGCTTGGTGGCTGAGTCCATACTCTTGAGTGTTGTTACTCTGACACTCCAGCCCCTTTCCAATCTTCAAGCAGTACAGAAAGAATATTTTGTGTACCTGATAACTATCCTGACTTTAATATGAACTGTAACTCCAGCAGGATTTGCAATCAGCTCCGGCTTGAACAGATGCCAGGAACTAGCCTGGAGTCAGCAGAAGGCTGCTCCCCATCCCACAAGTCTTCACAAAGGCACTGCACTGCTGTCCATATTAGTGCAGGTAACTCGATTCCATTCATGAACTCACAGTCCCCCAGAGGCACATGAGGTCTCAATGGCAACTCTGGGCAAGCTTCTGAAGGGAGGTTTTCACACGCTCCGTAAGCTCCTGGGCCACCACAGCCTGTCTACTGTTACACTCATCAGCATGCTGCTCCGTGTGGTGGGGTAACATGAGAACTGATGTATGGCATGACCAGCTATATTTAGGGGAGAGGAAATGGGCCATACTGAGGAAGGTCACAAGTCTGTCCAGAAAAATGAAGGCATTACAATTATCTGGGCTGTACAAAGGTATGGTATGGAAGCTAGAACCCGAATTTTCTATCCAATTTTAAGTCTATCACTACTGGCATTGTAGCCTACAGAAAGTTATTTAAATTTTTTTCAGCCTCAATCTTTTAACCTGTAAAATGGAGAAAAAAAATAATATCAGCTAGGTGTTGTGGAATATAGATAGTATTTGGGAGACCGAGGTAGGAAAGTCATGTGTTTAAGGCCAGCCTGGGCTACATAATAAGACCCTATAACAACAACAAGAACAATAGTAATGACTTCTTCACAGAGTATCTAAAGATTATATGAGAAAAGGCTATAAAAATATCAGCTCCTCTGGCATATGAGCACTAGATAAGTGTTTGCTAAAAAAATAAGTAACTAGGAAAATGTATTTGAATCTAGACAATGTGGGTATTGAGTGGGATTTTCACAATCCGTCTGTAGATTTTTCTTTGCTGTTACGATTTTTATCTTTTTACAATGGTTGATAGCTCCATTCACACAATCTCATCAACTTGATTAGCAGCATTTCTGAGAGGCAACTCACTATATATAGCTAATATATAGTTAAGAAATCAGATGGACGTGCCGGCAGAGCAAGGGTCAAATGACAGAGCACTGCAACTCCTGGTCCATAGCCAAATGAACAGACGAAATCCCCCAAAGTGGTGGAGATTGCTTAGTTCACGCTATATAGCCAAATTAGGCACTCCACAATTCAGCTTCCCAGGAGACTGAGATGCACCCAACCGGAGACCACCGGGCCAGCTACCATGTCTGTGCTACAGTCAAACTATTAACCACGTCAATCATTTGGATTCCATGGCCAGCTAGACAGAAGAATCTCAATCCCTGCCAGTGGAAGCCTGATGGTCTATGTGCCTGTGACAATGTCACAGTGTACCCTTGAGACACAATTTTTATGGAGGAGAGCAGGGATGGTCCTATGTTTAGGTCATTTATCTCTCACTTCTTGCTCATTGTCCTGTTCTTCTTCCCCCTTCCTCCCTCTTGTCCCTTTCTTTCTTGCTGTTGCTTTCTCTCTCTCTACCACACAAGCACACAACACATGTACAGACCATTCAGAATTTATGTTTGCTCTTTGCACCCAGGACTACCCTCAAGAATTGGTATCTCCACCTGATTCAGAAATCATGCCTTCTGGAAACTCTGAGGCCTTGTTCCTATTTGACACCACCCATCTCTCAGTGTTTGTACCCAGGATTTAAAAACTGCCTGGGGAGGCCCAGTTCAGATGTTGCTAAGAACTACCCTTGTGTGTTTTTAAGGGATTAGGGTCCTGGAAGAAACCATGTCAGTAAAAGGGGAACGAATAAGACTCTTTCCGCAAGCTAAAAAAAGGACTTTCACTAGGACCTGAGATGGGTAAAGGATCCTGTGACTCTTAAGAGAGCAAATTAATCTTCCCTGACTGGTGGGATGGGTTCTGCCAAAGAAACAGCTAATGGGAAAGCCAGTCTCCACTCTGTGATGACACAGTAAATAACCAGGCCACACGGCTAGCAAAGTGCTGACCTAACCTATAAATTGTACCCGGCCTCTGGGGAACAATTTCTGCTGACGGGATGCTTGGTGCATTAAAGACAAACAAACAGAAAGGAAGCAATGAGGACGGCATTGATAGAGCTTCAGGTAGACATCCTGAGACTGAGTCTGCTCTTTCCAGCAGACACCCAACAGTCTTCAGGGTGGTTAGTACACAGATCCAGAGCTGGGTTTTTCTTTACAAAGGAGACTTTTTTTTTTCATTATTATGTTTCTTTCTTTTCTTAACAAGAATCTAGTAAAGTAAGTGATACTCAGAGATCTGTTCATGGGAATGTAGAAAGATTTTTTTTTTTTTTTACTAAAACTTTAAAATAACATCTTGAGGTACTTGAATTGCTTATGTTCAGTAATAGAGAATCCAGCATCATCTCAAAGCCCTCAACTCTAATACACACTGAAAACCAACATTTCATTTTTGGCTAGAAAGTCAAGATAGTGACTGCCAAGAATGGTCATAAGGATCTCATGCCTAACTCAGACTTACCTTCAGGAATGCACAGAACAGGAGAGACACAACTAGGGAAAGCCACTCACCCTCTGCATCTTCTGGCCGAGTGAGATCGATGACACCTGGGCCCAGCTTTCCATCATCATTTGACTTTCCTGTTAACTGAGGCCCCAGGTTCTCAAAACGTGTTCTTTCCTAGGAGAAAGAATATTCAGAGGCTTACTCTAATTCCACAGAAGCCACTTGCTTTCTTCCAGTGTCTCTCTTGGTTAACAGGCACAGTGTGGAATTATGAACATCACATCTGACCCCTCAGGCTATGGAGACGGCAGCAGGCTGAGCGTGCCACCGACAAGACGAGCAAACTAGAAGTCTAGAAGGCTGAACCTGGAAGGAAGGAAGGCCATAACAGAAAACCTGCCAGAGTCACTATGCTTGTCCCACCCTCTTTGTTGGATTTGGTTCTGTAATCTACGAGAAATGCAATGGAAAGTGGGGCCAGATGTGCAAAAACTCAAGGACGTTCTTACTAAAGCCTGCTGCAAAGCTGAATGGGAGAACAGTCTTCCCATTTAGGGATCATGATCTGGGCAGCAATCCTGACAAAGTACAAATTAGAACTTTATGTACCAGGCTTTCAATGTGCCACAGTTGGTCGAGTGGACATTGACATTGCTCCTTTGCTAGAAACAAGTCTTCCAACTATGAGTTCCTGGGAACTGAAGAGTGTGTGACTCACACCCAGTAAAACAAACAAACAAACAAACACACACACACAAAACCCAGGAGGGTTCAATACCCTTGCTGCTTTGGGAAAGAACCCCCAAGGCAGTTGGTTGTTCAGCAGTTCCTATAAGAGCAGGAGTCTGAGGCAACAATGGAAGAAGCTGCGCACCTCTCAGATCAGTGGCAGGGACTCACTGGTCATCGTGAATGTCGTTCGAGTGTTCTGTATAAACTCAGCACGGGAACCTCACTCTCACCTCCCATCTCCATGCTTAAGTCTCTAGACTCACACTTGGCTTTGTGTTATCCTTATGAATGAATGAAGCCTTGTTGTTCATTACTATGAAACCATATTAAATGTCATGTCAGCTTGAATGTACAGACATGAAATAGCAGCTTGCAGCTCCGGGAATGGTTTCTGCATGTTATACTAATGCATTATGCAGCAGTGTAGTGCTGATTGCTGCACAGCCTATTGTTCAATGACCTAGTTCTGCGCCGAGTATGTTCTGTATCTGATGGAAACACACCGAGCGTTCTGTTCCGTAAGATGTTTAGAAACTTGGAAATATTCGGAAGGAGCAAACATACAATTACTTGATAGAGGATGTGCCTCATTTGTACAGCCTCACTGCATTTGTGCTTCCTAATACGATTATTTTTGAATATCATTATATTTCTATAATTAATTCCCATCAGTCAAATTGTTGCAGTAAATCCTCCAGTTTCCCTTCATCAGGAATCACATTGAAATCTTTGTCGGGAGAAAACACAGCATCAGCCTTGTATTAACCTAGCACTGTTTCTAGGAAAGCTTTGCAACGAAACGTGGTCATCTAGCCATCATCTCTCCAACTGCGTCACACTAACTAGTTTCAACAGTGGCGTGTGGGGAGACCTCTGAAGTGTGACATGTATAAAAGACAGACTGAAAACCAAAACCGAAGTGAGTGTGGTTTCCTAAAACCTCCTCATGTGAAAACACGGCTGCACGGGAACAAATTCACCCAGATGCAGCACACTACACAAAGCCACCACGGCTATGAGCTGCGTGGGAGCTTCACACGTGGTCAGGGAAGGACAGCTGCTTTCCATCAGCCCGGTTCTCTTTTTGAGTAGCACTTTGGGCTGCCGTGATGTAAAGAGAAAGAGTCAAAGTGAAGAGCACTGGAAAGCCATGTTCGACCTTTGTTTCTGGCATTGTTTCTCTAGCGTATTTGCATGTGAATACCTCTGTTACAGGCCAAGATCTTCGCACAAGAACAACCTTTCACTGCATTTTCATGGCAGGTGGGGGCAGGACAATTTTCTCTAAAAACCAACACTATGCCGCCTATCAGTACGCATATTCCATGGATCTTTCTAGTCATTCATTCTCTTTGATTTTCCTGGAAAATATTCTATTAAAAAAAAAGTTCCTGAAAGAATATCAGTATTTTGACAGAGAAGAAGAGGGAAGATTACATGCCATGCCTTGTAAAACCCCAAGACAACAAAGCTTACATGATGATAATATTTTTTCTTTCCTAAAAGGGAGGTGCACTCACAATGCAGTAGTATCAGCTTGTCTCTAATCATAACAAAAACATCTAGGATGATCCGTAACACATTCACGGTGTCTTTGAAGTCAGACAATTTTTCTGACTTCGTTGAAGAAACATTCTTCTGCAAAGACGCTTTCTCTTCAAAATATCAATATTTTGACAGAGCAGAAGACAAGGAAGAGCATCCCATGAAATACCGGTTAAATAGGCAGAAAATAAATCAATGATAAAAAGTATTGGGGGCAGTGGGTTGCATTTTCAATTTGATAATATTAAGCACTGTGTTTGAGATTAAAGCAGGGCCCTGAAAAGCCAAGCCCTTTCATATAAATTTCCACCCAGTCTCCCAGAAGATTTCCTTCTTTTCTTCAAAGAATAGCTCAGAATATTTATTTGCCAGCAGAGCCCGAAGACAGGAGGGCCGACATCTACCAGTTAGGTCTGTGCTGCTGAGCAGAGCAGAGATTTCCAGTGTGATGAACACAAGCCTCGAAAACACAGGATGTGGATATGGGCACAGATCGAGTATGGAGATGCTTCAGAGTAAGAAGCTGAGTCCCTGGCTGCTAAGCACCAGAGGGTTTGCCCCTATATGGCACAAACATGGACAGTGAAGGGTATGTCCCTACCCCTTGAACTAGCCCTCCCAATGTACACATTTTCCAAGTAGGATCATTTGAGATATGAGCAAAATTCCTCAGGGTGAACTTAACCCCACGCCCCACTCTTGAAATCTCCCTGGTTTTCATGTTGATAATGGAATGTGCATTCTCTGTGCTGACGCATGAGCAGACTCTCACTATGTACTGTCAATCCCAAACATGCAGGCAACATGAAAGTTACTGGGAAAAAAAATTAAAAGTCAGTTCTGCTGTGTTGTAGGGACTGCTGGATCCTTAAGTGCTTTGAAATTATGATGTATGAGGTAGATGTTGCATATTAAATAAAGATATTTAAATGATAAAGCCTCTGTTAGTGAGAGCTGATGAATGTTAAATGTTATAAGCCACAAGATGGTAGCATCCATCATCCCTGCGTGTTCTCGGAGTCAATGATGGGGTGGCCTCACTGCTGACAGACAGACTCTTGATTATTATCCCTTATTTCCAGAGTCACTGAACAAACCACTCAGATCCTCTGGCATTATTTTTAACTTTGCATTAAATTAGCAACTTTTCCCTCCCTTCCGTGGCAAGATTGATCAGTTACATCTTGGCACCAGTGGAGAGAGAATGAATTTGGGGGTAAATAAAAGACCAGAGGTTTGTTCTCAGTTAGGCAAGGAAATCAGCTGCTTCTTCCTGGCAACAAATGCGAAACTGTGATCTGGGGAAGGAACAGTGATGAAGCAGTAAGCACACAATAATGGATTTTCTTTGCACTTAGATAAAAGCTGAATTTTTGATGTGCACAGTATATTTTAATAAAATTTTATATACTATGTTTTATACACTTATTGGCTATTCCATAATAATGTGTGTGCTCACAGTAAAATTGCTCTTAAATTTATGTGTGTTATTTATATGTTCCCACGTAACAATGCTTTTTGTTGTAAAAAATATTCTGTTTATTAATGTAACTTTACAACCACTGCATCCAAGATCCGTGGTAAATTAATGACATTTTTATTATTTTATAGTGTCATTAAATTTTTACTGATCACTCCATCAAACAGAGGCAGTAAAGGCCATAATGTAAACTGGGACACTTAGATCAGGCAGCAGGAAGACATTCCATGGAGTCTGAAGAAAACTGCTGGCAATAAATGATATTTATACCATCTTTAAGCATGTGAGACTACTTGGATAAGTTTGGCAAAACCGTTTCAGTAGTAGAGTGGATGGTGTACTTAAATAACAGTTTGCTTGCCAAAGAGACAAGCCACTTTCAAACCATATGCAAGATGACGAATTGTAGCTGTCCCCAGAAAACCAACACATGAAAAGTAATTCTGTGCCTCACCTTCCCTCTGGGTCACCGAGGGACCCAAGTATTGTATTGTGCCTCAAGTCCTGTTAAGGTGATCCCCTTCCTATAGCCAGAAGGGAAAATGGCATATGCTTGGAGTCTTTGTTTGTTACTTTACAAATGGATATATTCTAGTCTAGACCTGTCTAGATAATGATGCTATATACTTTTACTCTGGTGGTCTAAAAGAGAGGCACTTCACCTACCTTTATTCAAAAGCCCATTTGTACAGATTGTCTGAGTGTGGTGTCAGTCATAGCCAGAAAGCAAACAGCTGTGGGGCTAGTGGGTGTTATTACCTATATTGTAGTTTTAAAGAGTGAAAAATAATTACCTTGGGTTATTTTTACATGTAAAATACATTATAATTAGGATGTGCTCGACAATGACTTTCTTAAATAAACTTAAATGTGTGTTATTAACTAATTGCCAAATATCCTATTTATGTATATATGAGATAGTAAATAGAAAATTCTGTGCCCATATAATTGTGGAATTAGTAGCACCAATCTCTCACATGGGGAATCTGACATGATTCTTTTTTATGTAAATAAGAATTTTGTTGTTACATAGCCAGATGAGCATTTAAATATTTAAAATGTTTTAAAACCTTTCAGATTTGCAATAAAGGTGAACACCACGGCTCATCAATCACGGTTTTGTGCCCTCCCAAAACACAGGTATTGCAGTATTCTGAGATGCTGTAGCAGCCAGTGAAGGCTGCAGGCCAGAAGGCTTATACCAGGCTACAGATGACAGGAGTTCTTTAGCTACCTCGAAGTTCCAGCTATGTCTAATTTTTGAGCACTTCCTGAATAAAGGTTTTCTGTCTTCATTCCAGTTCCAAGCTTCAATCTTTTCTGAGCATTTTGATTTTAGTTATATACGAGACCGGCTCCTCAATACTGGAGAACACTGTCCTAAACTAAATATAACAATTGCCCTTTACACAGCATC